TGACGAGCCGAACCCCGATTACCAAGGTATTACCACGCACCCTNCTCTCTCTCTCTCTCTCTCTCTTCTTTCTTTCGTTCATCAGCTTCCGGCATTTCTCATTTTTCCGCCCAAACATTCGCTTCTTCCCTTCTCTCCTTCCCCTCCCTCTCTTAATTCGTTCCTTTCTCGAATTCTTCACCCCTCGGAGATCATCGCTCCTCCATTTTTTTCGAAATCATTCGCGGGATTACATCCCCTCTTAACAACCCCTCTCTTAATTCATTCTTTTCTCGAATTCTTCACCCCTCGGAGATCGCTCCTCCATTTTTTTTCTCCCAAATCCCGCGAGTTTCGAATTCTCACGATTCAACAACTTATTTAAATTTCGCGTTCAAAATCAGAATCTTAACACGAGCTTCGTGAATTTTCAATTCGTCGAAGTTGATCGAAATCATCCGCGGGACTACATCTTAACAACTCCTCTCTTAATTCGTTCCTTTCTCGAATTCTTCGGAGATTATCACTCCTCCATTTTTTCTTTTTTCTCCCAAGTCCCGCGAGTTTCAAATTCTCACGATTCAACTTCAACAGAATCTTAACACGAGTTTCGTTTTACTCGCGTCGAGGTTGATCGAAAGATTCTCGAAATCATTCGCGGGACTACATCCCCTCTTATCAACCCCTCTCTTAATTCGTTCCTTTCTCGAATTCTTCATCATCGCTCCTCCATTTTTTCTTTTTTCTTCCAAGTCCCGCAAGTTTCGAATTCTCACGATTCAACTTCAACAGCTTATTTAAATGTCGCGTTCAAAATCAGAATCTTAACACGAGCTTCGTGAATTTTCGATTCGTCACGTCGAAGTTCATCCCTCCTCATCGCTCTTCCATTTTTTTTTCCAAGTTCCGTGAGTTCTTGTGATTCAACTTCAACACGAGTTTCGTTTTACTCGCGTCGCGTCGAGGTTGATCGAAAGATTCTCGAAATCATTCGCGGGACTACTCTCTTAACAACCCCTGTTTTAATACT